TTCTAATCCCAAGAATATAAAGAAATAAATGAAAACCAGTTGATTACACCAATGACTGTATTTTATTGCATAGTTGTGCACTGACACTTTACCATGTTAAATTTTGAAATTTTGAGGTTGAAAATTGAAATCAAGTAAAATAAATCCAAAACAAATGACATGAACTGAACAAAAGCTCTCTGCCAACTTAGATGTAGATTGCTTGTTCTGTGTGTGCACCCATACTGTACTTTTTATCAATATTCTAGTTAATAAAGGGCTCACAGAAGTGCATCTGCTGTTTAAAATATGAAAAACGGGGTAGAATTTATATCTGAGTGGAAAAAAATGGAAAAATTGCCACATCTTTGCCAATTTCACAATTTCATATAAAATACTGATTTAAATCAATGTTAAAAAAATCAATTGATTTAAATCATGATTTAAATTGTTTAAGCAATTTGTTCAAGGAAAAATCTTCCTATGCCATCCTTTCATTATTTTCCTTTTTTGATGATGAGCACAGTAACCACCGGTATTTCATTATTCCCAAAGCCTTGTCCTTCCAAGCCTTCTGAATTGCATGCAAATGTCAGTAATGATACTGAGTAAGCACTCTATCCCATCTGCAGCTCATTAAAATGCTGAGATGATGTGGAGAAGGAATCACATCATGACTCAACCAAGTATTCTCGGATGAACACATGCATGATGATGTACATAAAACATGCTTTTTCCCCAACTGGGGCATTTCGCAAGAATAGGATACATGTATATGAGTTGGGACAGAATGGTTTAGTTCACATTTCAGCTCCTGAGTGGAAAAATGTATGAAGTGCTGTAGTTTGAATTTGAAAATCATACATAAATGTTAAAGGTAAAAACTGCCCTTCGAAACATAAGCCGCAATATCACATAAAACTGATTAAGTTCTTCTAAGTAAGTTGGTGTGCTTAGTTATACATGTACATGTAGTATCTACTGCATTAAAGGCCTTTAACTCTGAAACCCTCAACATTTTCTGTAATATTGTTGCAGTGTACCAGTAGTTTTACAAATGCCGAGCACTGAGTTTTTCAGTAGCATCTTGCAGTCAGTTTCACATCAACTTGATGCCACTCTTGTAGCTAGGAATCCATACTTTCTCCATTGTGTCTCAATGTACCGGTATGCAGGCCTACAAGTTTGAGGTCAAATGACCATGACATCAAAACCCTAGGTCATATTGAATTCAAACTTAACATGTTTGCTGATGAGTACCATCTTTTTAGGCAAGCTAAGCTTCAACACGGTCTTGCATGTGATAGCTGGGTTCTCAGGTGGGACTGACTCCCCCAGCTGTGAGATGGTCCAAAATGACCCAGCTCTAGGATGTACCAGTACCAGAGCCAACTGCCTTAGTTGACCATGCATGAATTTTCTTTTATTAGCATGGGTCAGTTCCCAAGAAACATCACATATTCAAAACTACGGTAGGGCTTCCATGTACTGGTACATGTCTGTAAAGCTTTTGTCAATTGCTACTGTCCGCTGATATCTAACTGCTTAAGATGTGACCAGAGTGCATAGGCCTACTAACAATCAGCTGGGTGAATACAACATTTTGGATTCTGTAAGCTGGCTTTTTTGGACACAATGAAAAGTTAACCCTATAATAAAGCTTGCTAGACATCTATCTTTACAAATGGTGTGAGGTAATCCCCTATGAAATTTTGTCTCCTCAAAGCTAAAGATTAGCTAAATCCTCAAACTTGGAAAACCATGAGGATGGCATAATGGCAAGCTGATCAACAGTGTCCCGAACAATGCCCTGCTTATTAGCAGGCCAAATAGCCAAAATGGAGAATACATTCACTGGCTACATGTACCTGGTAAGTATACCAGGAGCAGTAATTCACAAGTTAATCTCTTGACCACAAGACCAGACATGTCTGGACCATTACCTGTTACTGTAACTGAACCAATCCTATCACGGAGCTCATTAAAAAGCCAAAGCTGGACAAACACAAAAGATGAATCAATTGCAAATCACCTCCATTACAATGTACATGTGTAAGCTGTTGCATTGAAAATGTTTTAAGAGAGATTTCTGGCACTGTGGCCAGGCCGCAATGAGTCAGGTTGGATCAAACCAAGATTGGATGATCCACAGCACTGATGTCTCCATAAGTAACTGATATCTTTGTTATGGTTGAAACTAAATAATCCATGTACTGATGATAAACTAAAAGTTTTCTATTCACCTAAATTGATATTCTTATCCAAGCAATATTAGCCGATGTTGTGCATGTGTAATGTAAGAAGGAAGACATGTACATGTACATCTTTTGTTTTTCTTTAGGAATTCAAAGAATCAGCGTTTTAGAAATGGTACAACCGGTACCACTTTTGGGGGAGGGGGGTTTTGAAGATTACATGTACGTTAGTTTTTATGGGCAAAAAAAAAGTCAGTCATTTGTAGAAAACTTGAAATTTGCCCCTTGGACCCCAAACCTGGATTAACCACATTTAATGTACATGTACATTGCACAGTCAGTTTCCTGAATCTTGGCTGAACATAAACACACTCCTTAAGAATGCATTGTTGGTAGTTGTTCATGTAGGCTACAGGTACATTTTATTTTGGGTCATCTTGGTCAATGTGTTAGGGTGTCGAATGCACAGCCTGTAAAAGTTCAGGGAAGAAATGCAGGACAACTGCATTGTTTCCATTCCATCCCGTAGGACAACCAAGCAGATTGGGTGGGCACTGGGCAAGCACTGCGCTAGATTCAAGCCAAGTCCCTGACAAGCACAGTGTATTTCCTGAGCCAAAATTTGTCAACCCCTGCAGTTGGGATTTCTTTCTTCGAAGCCTACATGTGCATTTCTACCTCAATGTTCATTTCTCCAGGCATCTGTAATAGACTTGGGGAGAAATGCATCTGTCTATTAAGTGGTGATACATACATGTATATACATGTGCTGATAGGTCATGATAAAATCAATGTACTGGTACATGTACACGTACAATACAATACACCTGGCAGCATGTGGTTAATGCTTACTTCCATGTACCCGGGATTCTGGGACCTTTGGTTTAACCACTAATAAATGTATTAATATTCCACAAAATCAACATCCTGCATTTAAAAAATATTCTGATTACAACTCATTACGCATGCATCTGCAAGTGCAACACTGACAAAATATACATAAACAGTACAGTTTGTTGTATGTGTACATGTATTTCATCCTTGTTAACTGCTTGAACTTCCTCCATCACCTGGGTTTTTATTCACATGAATTTTCTAATTGCTCCTTGATTGTAGCTGTCAGTGACCTCACATGACGTCTCTGTGTAACAGACTCATCCAGTGAGGCATCAATAAGATCTCTGCGCCAAATTAAATGAGATAAAAGCATCCCCACAGGGGGCACCTCTAGAATCCGATACTCTATCTCCACCATCTGCACAGCCAAGAAAGAACACTGAAAATTGTAGCTATCGGCATCTACTCATTGAAGACAATCATCTGCCTTCTTCACACACAAACTTCTTCCATTCCTCTTGTTCAATTAGCCTGTGCATTCAAGGGGCAATACTTATTTCATTCAAAATTGATTCTCAAAATAATCAGCACAAAAATGTGCTGATTTCCTTCTAGTACATGTAGTTTTCTATTATTAGTATTAGATTGGTGTTAATTTTCTCCTTACCAAAAAGCAATTAACAAAAAAGAACGTCTCCAAAAATTTTCCTGACTTTTTCTCCCCAACAAACTTTCCTCCACCTTTCAAAGGGACAATGTGTGCCATACTTACAGTGTAAATTAATCTTGACAATACATTTTAAAATATTAAATACTACATCACTAATTGCACTATAATTCAAACAATAGAATAAACTGGACACATTTTTTTTAAGTAAATGACATATTCAAACTCTTGAAATTCTGTAATAACGAATGCAGTAGCTTGTGTCTACTGGAATGCCTCAAGCAAACCGAGAAAATCTTCCAAGATGAAATTGTATCGTTACCTGCCAATTTATAGGACACCAACAAAACAACTGTGCTGGCATACGGGAAAATACAAATTGAAAAGAAAAAAATCTAAAATTGCAAAGCATCAACAAACCAACGGGAAATGAGATGTGACTTATCAGTGGCTGTAATCTGCAGAGATGAAGTGCCCAAGGAGGTACAACACACAATTCTACCAACTATGCCACGCTGTAGCAATATCTCGTCAAAATAAGGCCACGAAATACGGTTGTCTTGCCTCTTCCCAAAAGTTCCCCCTACCTATCCGTCTACAATGTGGGCCCCGAGGGCCTGCTCTCCACTAAATAGCCCCATTTTTATCGGATTATGATATTAAAAACTTGGAAGGAGGAGCCTAAGAAACAAATTTCTGGTCTTGCATTCTGTGGGTGTTTATGGTAGCATGGCAAACCTCCCACAGGATTGCTTTTCCCCCAACTACTGATGTCATCAATGTTATCTCCAGGCCCCATGGGAATGCCAAGGAACTTGTATGGCTACTTGTATTATGAGTAACAGTATCCTTACTGCACTCTCAACTCAGTCACACCAGCCTCAGGGGATAGCTGAGCTATTATGGAAGAGGATGAAGGGATATAGGGTGCTGGAGGATACAGCATTGGGGCTGTTGGCCACTCTTTGATTGCACTGCATTTCATCCCTTTGTGAGGCAGGTCACAGTTGCTTGTGGCTGGATGTAAGTCACAGAGTCCCCTGTTTATACAACCCAGTATTTTGCCAGCGTTGATTTGTCAGCTGGGCAATATATTTGTTCATGGATTTGCATCTCTTCCGATAGAGATTTGTTCACTTCAACACTTACTTCTAAGAAGTATGATAACAAGTGGTGACTGGATGATATACGGGTACATGTACACCTGGAAATGTTCATAGTTTTTGCCACCCTGAATAAATTTACATGACATTTAGGAACATATACAAAACGAATCGTTTCAGGGGAAAACCTTATCATTGAAGTATCCTCAACTAACTTACTTGAATTGCATCTTGCCATTGACAAGACCGAGGGAGAAATAGTCCCCATCTGTGCTGTTCTTCTCACCACAAAACAGTAGTAGTCCATCCAGCATCTCTGGCTTGAAGTCAACCCTGATCTGGAATGTCCTGTACAGGCCCAATGGTGTCGAAAATTCCATGTAGGAATGGCTCTGAAAACTTGGGAACTTAATGGCAACAGCTGCAAGTGGGAAAAGTAAGAGTATTACTTGCAAGTGTATGCATGCGTGTTGCTGAGGTCAGATACATACATGTACATGTAGAAGTTTTGCAGTATGTGAAGAGTATGTATTCATGTGTTATACGTAAAAGGTGGTTCTGAAAGCAAGCAGAGGGTAAAAACTCAATACTTGTCAACTGCAGTAACTTCAATGCTCAAATTTTAAAAATCAAATCTTCATTGTTTCTTTGTTAAAGAGATGCACTAATCCAAGGTCAATGTAATAATTACTCTTGGCCATGGAAAATGGTCTTTTTAAAAGGAAAGAACACCCCTCCCCACTGATGGAGAGAGCACAGTGCAAGTTACTGAATACAACTTGTCCTGAAAACTCACTGGTACAGAAAGTGATTTCACCATTGCTAGGGGATACTGAAATGTACAAGGATTAAGTGCCAGGACTGGTCTACCAAATTTAGATGTACATGTACATGTACATGTATTGTTAGGGTTTCCAAGAGGTACATGTATTGTTAGGGTTTCCAAGAGGTACATGTGGTACAGTTACAAAGCATGATAATGAGCAAGAATTACAAATACATTGGTATAGAAACACACAAATAACTTTACAAATTGGCACATCTAGGGTCTGGGAGAGAGGGCACTTGGCATAAAGCACCATATACAAGTACATACATGTATACATGTACCGCTATAAATGCTACCAAGCCTACACATGCCACATCTCTGATGAGTGTACCGGTACGTATTTGTGTGCAAAGCCCAAAGTAACATGCAGTCAACCCCAACTTTACCATTCAGCCTAAATTTGCTGATGGGGGCTCTTACACCACTTTATTTAGCTACATGTAAATGTATGTCCGTGTCATACATGTACATGTACCTTTTTACAAATTTACCATGCATTTGCCCTGTGATCAGAACCTCAACCTTGTGTAGATGTACATGTAGTCCTCAAACTGAAGTACATGTAAGTGACTGACTGCTCTGTTTGGGCCAAAGGTCTATCACTCCCTTGTGTGATTTGGGCCATCAGATTTGTAATTGTCTGTCAGGTAAAGTTTTAAAAAAGATGTGTTTGTTGATGGACTTGACCAAACACCCTTCCCAAAGTGAAATTAAACAGGTAAAAAAAACCTGGGTTGTGTGGTGATGTATGGGTCAGTGTTACATACATGTACATGCACATGTACTGTATGTGTACGTGTAGATGTACATTAGGTGTATACAATGTACCATTGAAGCTCCTGTACCACAAACATACACAAAGTATCTGCATGTGGGCCCTTTTTACCTTACTATGTACCATATAAACATGGACATGAACAGGCAGGAAGCAATGGGGATAAAATGACTTTCATTTGTAAACTATGCAATTCCAAACCAACAATGCAAAATCCACTATTCCCAATTTTTGAAAGATGGCGTCTACCGGTCCATGTAAATGTAATGAATACCCAAAGCAAGATGTTTTGTCATACTAAATGGGCACCATTTGTTATTTCATATTTCACTGATAATGTAAGAATGAACCTCACAAGGTCAGGGTCAACAAGTTCAAGTAATTGCCCAGTTGGGCAATGCAATATTCCCCTTCACCACAGACTGATTGAAGAATGACCTTGTCAAGGGTTTGGAGTAGAAAGCAGATGTACCACAAAAAATCTCTCTGCACATTGGCTATATTTTAAAAATGGGAAATTGTGTCAAGATGGACTCTTTGAGGTTTATGGGGAGGGGAAGTATGCTTTGATTTTGAGATGTATTGAATTTTTTCACTGACACAACAATCAAGACAAAAAAGTCGCCCATGATATTTTACATACAACAAAACAATGAGGTCAAAAGTGCAAAGTGTGTGTCATACAGACATGTATCCCATTAGAACCTTCTGTACTCTGACAAAGATGTTAGATTCAACAGAGAGAACCTGATGGACTTCGTGGAATGCCCAGTAGCAATAAGCCCTATCCTATTCAATGAGACCTACTTCTTGAAAAAAATGAGAGCAAAACATGGTACAGAATGTCAACCAACTCTTGCCAAACAAGAACAGAATAAAAGACTGGCCAGGCACAATGGGAATTGAACAGGTAGCTGAGACTAGCAGGGGCATGATGTATTATTGCCCACTGTTCCTGGGGTTGAATAGACCTCAGTGGAATGGGCTTCCCAGGTTTTCTCTCCAGACACAGCCAGACTGCCATGCTGACACTAATCCCCATGCCTTTTCACCCTGTCGAAACACGTTAGCCCTGAAAAAGTAACGATGTACATTGGGGATTGCTTGGTTTGACAGGCACAATGGTGGCTGAATCCAGCAGTGTATCTTGCTCAATGGGCTGTGCAGCAATACAGCCTTGTGCATTTTCTCAAGCATGTTTTGACACAAAGTTTATTTTGTATTGTTGTCCCTATAATCACACACAGCATGTGGTAGTTGCCTACAATTACTCCTTTCAATTTCACACAAAGTCATGAACACTTACAGGTCCAGGTACTTCACACTTCTTCCCTTCATACAACATACCGTAAATATCACATTTGTATAGGGCTTCTGTTATCTGTGACTCTTAACACTGTTCCTTAAGTATTGTTCCCTGAAGAACTCATACTCTCAAGAAAGATATAAATACTTGCACAGTCTCTAAAAGACCTTAGGACAATATGAAGCTACATTTCTCAACAGGGTGACCTAATTTCTGTACAACAACCAACATCTAACTTTATCAAAATGCTGTTCTTTCACTCTGCCGAATGCGTGTATGTTGTAATCCAACGTATGCAGACTGACCTTTTTCAGAGGAAATGGCTTGTGCTTTTATAAAGCCACATCCTTGATTTGGTTACCAACCCAAGCACTGATTCTTGTGAGGGATATTCCTTTTTTCAAATAATGAGCACACTGTTACATAAGCTGGTGATGTACACGTAGTGTACCATTACGAGAACAATGGATGTGTAAAGTTCTGCTTCAAAAATACAACTAATAATGTACAACCACACAAACAAAACAAATATATCAAAACACTGAATATCCCTCAGAGGAATCTTGTAGGAAGATATCAGTACTGTACCAAGGATGTGGTAAGATAGACCACTGACCATAACAGAATACAGAATTTACATGTGGAGAATTTCCCAAGCAGAAATTTGGTATTGGTTCATGTACCGGAAACATGTATGTATTCTACTTGTTTTGTGGAGGAACAAATTCCCTCAGCTACATGTAGCAAAGAATTTAGGCAAGAAATACTGAGATTAACCTTTTCTCACTGGTATGTAAATTAATAATATTGAAGTTGTTTAATTGTAAACTGGTTCCTGTTATTTAAAATAAATTTTTACATGCAAACTTGTCAAAATGAGAATTTTTTCAAATGTGTGAAAAAATTTGCATTCCAACACAGTGTTTTAAAGCTTTGCATTTCTAGGAAAGAATATCTTGTCCAGAAATACTAAGATTTTGCGTCTCATACATGTATACAAATATATTTGAAATGTCTAAAAGTTGTATCGTGCACAATTTCAAATTGGTTCCAAACATTTTGGAAATGAACTTATACCAACATGATGATTAAACTACATGTAATAATGCATTTTCAAATGTGTGAAAGAGATTCTAACACACTTGACATTCTGAACACAATGACACAAGCTTACTACCTCCCAAAACCTACCATACACGTACTATCTACACAATGTTGCCAATTTTAAGCAAACTACCGTACATGCATTTTCCAAGGCCCACTCAGCAAAAAAGAGTCACAAAATGTACCAGGTAGCCAGACCCACTTTTGAGTTAAAGGAATTATCAACATTTTTAATCTACACAATGTCCATTTTCATCATACCAAACTGAGCGACATATCAAAACAAAGAGTTCAAACTCAAAAATGGCTCTGGTGACTCATTTTTGTCCTGTCACATATTGTATGTCCTCAAATAGTTTTAATTTAACTCTAAAAACAGACCCTAATCTATGTGTTTTCAACACATTTTTCCACCATGAACATGCAAAGGTCACTGCTCACTGGCTGTAGTCTAGTCCATCACAAGTCCCTTCACAAGGCCATTTATACATAAATGCCAGTTCACTTGAATAGCTTGTGAATTGGTTTAAGACATAATGACTTGTGACGGACATGTGATGGACTTACAGGGACATGCAGGGACTTGTGATGAACTCAACCATGGTACAACATTGCTCACTACTGTGTGATGACACGGTGAATTTAATGTCCTCTCTACAATGTACCGGTACATGTGCATACCGGTACATTCAGTTAACATTCCTAAAAATTAACTTTCAACTTCAAAAAGGAAACATATTTCTTCTGTCGGCACCGTTCTGTTAACTACATGTGCCTGGCTTTCCCATTATCTTACATGTTAAATGACTTTAAAATGTGCATTATTTCACATGTTATGAGGATTCTGATTCAGCCATCAACTTCAAGTAGCCCTCTGACCTGATACATGTAGTTTTCTCCAAAAATTTTGAGAAGAAAAGAGGCAGAATGGATGATACATATTTCACAACTGTGTACATGTTGAACTTTCAAAGCATTAGGTACATCTGTACATGTAGGTCTTGTTACGTTTAGTTACTGACAACTTCTTGTTACATTAGCCACCAACAACTGTACACCATACACCCATACATATCGCTCCAAGTAGAGTATGAAGTGCATGCAGGCTAAAGCTATGTTGGCACTGGACTTTTGGCTAAAACTTACAGAGACTGCTGTCAATTTGATACAATTATTATATGGAGAGCCAGTAAACTGTCATAATTGTAAAGTACTGGATGTTGAATTTCAGTTTAACCTTCAGCAATGGAAGTTTTACCAAACAAGAAATTAATGCATTGGAGCAAAATGGGTCGTGGAAGAATTACACTAAAGTCTAGAATTTTCTGCTTTCTGAAAGTAAATTCTGCTCTCTGCCGTTTACTAAATTTTGTCAACAAAAACTGTATGTGACTGTACATGTACATATGTACAGTACTCTAGGCCTACATTTACCATATACATGTATCTACAGGTAGCCCAACTTTGGCATAATGATACATGTAGGGTCTACACGCACCATGCCACTGTGATCTTGGGCTGGTCCCCATCCCAATTGATTTATTCATAAGCCATGAGACGTCTGAGTACTACATATACTGTATGTAGGGAACAGGAATTGTGTGATCTCCACGGTGCGGAGCCGGAGGAAATCAATATCGCAAAGGAAAAACAGGAGGGGAAACAGTACCAAATGTTACTTTCAAAGTGAGTTAAACAGTGAAAGTGAGTTGTCATTCCTAATTTGGGTTCATATTTATTTGATTAATTGTGCAGAAATGATCAAAAATATTTGTTTAAATTTTTTTTACCAAGAACTGCATTTTCGGCTTTCTACTCCAAAATCCGCGATTTTTGCGGATTTCTGCAAAGCGGAAAATTCTTGACTTTAAATTACACTGTGCAATACATACAGTATTTTATACCTGAATTCATGAGAGGAACATACATGTAGCATCAATTCTTGTAATATACAGTGTGTTCCTAAAAAAAGGTAACTGAAGTACAAAGGTCAGCTATGTCCTTCAGCTTAGTCAGCTTAGGGTCCTTTGAAGGTGATGGGTAAAAAACCTACTTTTTCCAAGTCTTTGGTTTGTAAGGTACGTAACCAACTTTTCTGTAAGTTTTGGTTTCATCGTTTGTTTGTTTTTCACACCAAGTTTTAATGAAACGCTATCCCCTCTGTTAACATTTCGAGAGTGACTGTAATTTACAATCTCTGGTGAGCACATCATTCAGCCCTTTTATGCACCAACACCTTCGACGTGTCCACCTCGCCTGTCGACACAAAGCTGTGAACAACGCTGCATGTCTCGCACTGCTCTTCTAACTCGGAAAAGTAGGTTTTGTACCCTTCGCCTTCAAGGGCCCTAACTCTGTGATCAGAGACAATGTTGATGCAAGAAACGGGATCTGAACCAGATCTGATCCTTCCCACGAGGAGGATCAGATCCCGGGATCAGGACCTGATCCTGCATTGCGTTTACACACTTTTTTGATCCCGATCTGATCCCCTGTGCCAGATCTGATCCTCCTCACCAGATCAAGTGTAAAGGCAGTGCCAGTAGTCCACCAGCAGACACACCAGAGGGGTGGCTTCGGCGACATGTTAACAAGCACTTGTGTAACTTTTTACAATTTCTAGTCCAATGTGAATACTGCTTAGATACAAGAGGAACCCACGGCTACATGTACTGATACTGAGATACATGAATGTACACTGTAAATACATGTACAGTACAGTACATCTGACCTCATGCGGTAAAGACTAAATTTTTAAATTATGCTCAATTTTTTGGACGATTATGGCTAGTTATGACAGCTATTTCCTTTTCAAAATTGCAGCAGACATTAACTGTACTGGGTAGTTCACTGATGCAGGACATTGTGTCATCATACGCATAAAGCTGAAAACTTCCTTTATCAAAAATAAAAATGATTTTGTCATTGACTAATTTTAAAAATGACTCTTAGAACCTTGTTTTCCAGGCTGGGTCATTATAAACGTCATCATTTGTCCAAAATATGTTGCTGAGGGCAGCCAGTGAATTGGCTGAAATTATGATGTGGTAAGTGGGAGTCACATGCAGTAATCATGCCCACTACTGGTACAGCTGGCAATGGGCCTGCATGTAATACGTGGAATCTGTGCGCACGTCTGTCCCAGCCTAGCTACAGCTACAGTCAGCAGCACCAGAAGTTTTGTGGTAGATAAAACTGGTCACGCACAACTGAAGTCACAGTATGCTAAATAACTCATTGTTGGTGGCTCCAACTGTACTCCACAGAATAGTCCTGATAAAAGAGTCTTCACATTTCCTTCACAAATGGGGTTAAATTAGTCCCTGTTAAATTTGCCAGATTTTGTTCTTAGTGAACACTTGCAAATATGCAGTGCACATTTTGTTGGGGGTAATATTTATTGCAAGCTGCACAAAATTAAAGCACACTGACAAAAATGTACACATCACATCACATGTTCTGCCATCTTGTCTACCGTCTCACACCAGTATTGCTGGTAATGGCATTTTTTTACAATGCCTTCTTCCGAGAATTCACTCTCAAATTGGTTCTGCAAAAATATTTCAGAGCTGCTGATACTGTCAACTAGATCATTCTCATCATAGGAATGTGACAAAACTGATTGATATCAGTGCGGCTGTCAGAAATCACACCATACTGGTACTGCCAGGCTCAGCGTCTGACATTATCGTGAAACATGCTTCAGCAACTAGCAGCTGCAGGTATTTCAACTCCCATGTACTGCGTCACAACTTTTAGTAATAGCCAAGGATTGTTGTTTTTCTTTTTGTGCCTGCCGGACCCCCCTACCATGAATACTTAGCTCACATTCAATTTTGAATACACAGTGAAAAAAAATGAGACCTTGTCTTTTCCATATTTATGGGTTTACTCTATAACCATGATGACAAAAGTCATATTGCAGGAAAATGTCCTCTACCATTCAACTACAAGTGCATCTTTAATTACAGCAAACAGTTATTAAATTACATGTAACTCTGCCTGCCAGTTTGAAAATATTTTTGCTTTTACTTTGTTAGAACTGGGCAAAAAATCTTGAAGTTCCCTTAATGCCTAACAAGTCTCCAAAAAACAAAGTTGTATTTTTTGTATGAACCTTAAATTGAGCACTGATGATCAGCTATCCTGATTACTGTCAAACACAAATGGCTCTTATGCCCCTGACTTACTTTGCTCACACATCTCTCCTTCATATCCCAGTGGGCAGTGGCATGATGCTTTACTTGTTTCATCATCGATATAGCACGTGCCGGCATTTTGGCACATGAATTCCTGGCATGTACCTATCACCATGCTTGTAGCACACTTCTCTCCCTGGAATCCTTGCATGCAGTGGCACATTGCTTTGTCTACCATCACATCCACATAGCATGTGCCTCCATTTTGACACTCAAAGTCTTGACAGAGGGCCATTGGGTCAGGCACAAGCACCCCCTCACCACTCCCTGTCTCCTGTCCATCATCATCTGTGCCACTGCCACTACCCTCTATCTCCTGTCCTCCGCTGCCTTGCTGTTCCTTGGTTTTAGAATCCATCTCCTCTTTAACAGTTACCTCTGCCTCTTTGAGGCTTGTCTCTGCATCGATATCAATGGTGTCATCTGGAAATAAGGGAAACATTGAAAGTCATACTCAAAAATAAAGTACTGTATAAGTGTTGACGAATTCTTATAATTTTCATGCAAGTGGAGAACAGGATTTTTCCAACATTTTTCATCCGTAGTGAAATGAAAGTGAATTTTCTTCAAAGAGAAACCACAAAGTTCAAAACAAAAATGTAATCATTCTCATTTAAGACGGTTGTACCAAGACAGAGGTGCACTAGGCTGGTGTCTATTCAACAAGCATTTCCTCACTGATGGGAAACAGACACAGTCTGGGTTTGATAAAGGATAACGAAATAAATGACACTTGCTCATTTTGAAACAAATCTTCCAGTAAGCTGTCCAATTCTGTCACTGGTAAGGTCTAAAACTGTGGGTGTCTTCCTGCTGCATATAGAGCAGAATTTGTGAACAACTTGAAGCAGAAAGTACTGCATTTTTTTCATGCTACTGCTGTCCTATTCAAAAATCAAGATTCTGATTTGAACAAAAGAGAAACCTCTTCTCAGATGTGACCTGTTGTCATCTGCTGACATTACTGTGTCGAAATTATAGCATAATTGGCACATTCACAAAGAAAAAAGAGACAAATGAACAGTGACGATCAATGTAAACAATGGCGTTTGTGGAAAAACAATGCTCCACTGCCCCCCCCCATCTCATAAGATTATTAATTTATGTAGTACACATACCAGTAGCTACAACCTCATACCCGAGGTTATACATGTAATATTATATTCATAAAAGGCGGTGGAAACAGCAATTTCAAAAGAAGGAAAGATAGAGATTTATGCACTATAAGCCCATGGGGTATGGTACATCACTTACATATAAATCATGTGATTCATTCTCAACCAATTAAAATTCACCATCTATTAACATTTAGTATAAAAAAATGTGCATGTAACTCAATCTGACCAGAATTTGACAGAAAAAAGTAATCAGTACACATTGTACCTCTTTTAACTTTCGAGTATTCCGGCAATAATAAGTGATACATGTATATGTCACGAGTGACGCAATATCACGCATCTTGGAAAAAACAAATAGCATTTACTGTGCTGCCTCAGTTTTGCGTTCCGTTCTCTGATGTATCTTATTCATGGTCTCACAACACACATACTGTATATGGTCTCAAACCTCACCAGCTGCGTGTCCGTGTACATGAAAACAAGTGAGACAACTGAGAATTCCAAACCCAAAATGGTGTCAATATTCTTTCCTCCCCCACTCCCCTCTCTCAATTTACTGATCAAGCAAAACTTAAAAGCCTTAAAATGTGCCAGGACTTAGACTAACCCCCTTTTATTTCAGCATAAAAAAGTTAGTTGGTCTGTGACTGTATTTGGTTCAGCTTTACAAGCAAGCTTTTGATTTCTGGTGAGGATGATACAATTAGAAACTCTGCCCTCAGTTTTACACAAAATCCCCTGTGGAGAGGTAGCTGCAAGAAATACGCTATTACAAACAACTTGTACAATGGCACAAACAATACATGCAGGGTATACATGTACTGTTAAGGCTCCAAGTAGGAGTCAAACTTTCAATTAAACTTTTAATACTGAAATTGCAGCAAGACATTGCAAATTAAGCAGGTTTCATACTACACGGTAATGGGTTACTCGCGGTTATCAAAAAATTTAATCCCGAGATTACCCAGGTAATGTGGAGTGTTTACAATGCACTTCTCAGGGTTAGAAATTCTCCAGGTTAACTGCCTCAAAACGTCATTTAACCCTTGTACATGTAATTTAGAACCCTACTCACAAGATGGTTTAACCCACTAATGTTGGGGTTAATGGCAGCCTTGATATAATTCTCCAGGTTACCTCTGGCAATGTGAATGTTCGCCGAGTTTTCTTCAACCCCATTTTTTTTCGTCGAATACACAGGATAGCGCATGCACAGTCAGCGCTGCCTTGTGTGGTGGGGGTGTGCGGCCAATGTTCACCATGGCTGGTATCTTGTCATAATAATTATTGATCTCAATAATAAAAACTGGATAGGACATGAATATGCTGACTCATGGTACATGTACGGAGAGGATTCAGAAAAAGGGACAGCTGACGGTGAGGGTTTGCCAGTGCTCACCCATGTATGTATTCTCTTCGCAGTATCAGGATTTATAAGAGATCAATGGCAATAACGTTATTTCTACATGTACATGTACTTCAAATGGAGGACATCGAGCTATTTGGCCAGTAACTCGTCTTTCTGTGTTTGTTTTTATGTACGTGTACACTATTTGCAAGGCAACAGTCTTGAACCCATGTAGCATGTGTGAACATTCATGTACATGTAGATGTACGTGACGCATGGCTTAAGGTTTTTGTTACACATACACATGTACATACACGTGCATATTTGTTTTCTTCGACGACTTTAAAGAAAACACGGACCTACGATCAACACTAGGGTTTCCTAAGTCCACGACAGGTGCCATTTCACTACAATGTTGTAGTGAGCATAATGGATGGTGGGATATCCGAGGTCGAGCAATGCATGCACGCATCAAATTCATATTCTCCAGGATGCCGCTCTTGCAGTGTGAAAGGCAGTTACGAATGAAGCTACAAGTGCAAATTGCAGGGTGAAGTGTTGTAGTATAAAACCAATTCTCCTGGTTATAGTTTCTACCCCAGTTTGAACAACTACCAGGGTAATTGGATAATTACCGTAATTACTGGGATAAGTCCAGACTAGTGTGGAAAGGGCTTTAGAGAGCTTATGATAACAGTGACCTGGAGAATTTGCTTTGAAGAGTTTGTTTTGAAGAGAGCTGCATGCACTGATACATAACCCACAGGGCAAGAAGGTTTATAAATGTATGGCAAGGAGACCTTTACCATGAAATGACATCTATTCTGATTATAATGAATAGGGGCAAGGAGTGATGAGGGTACACAGCCTTGATTTCTTTTTATCATTTCCTGGGTGAGAAATATCAACCAAGAATGACCCTTAGCAGTCTCAGCACAGCAAATAGGCTAGGCCTGGGTAACCTTGCTCCAACATGACCAACATCTCAAGACTGCCTGGCATGAGTGGAATGCTGGGGCTGGCTTGAGTCAGCAAGGTGAGACAGCCACAGGGGAACATTCTAGCAATGAGAAGGGAATGGTAGGAAGATGAAGATGTTATGTTGCCTGGTGTCAGGTCATGACCTGGCCTGGTGTCAGTCTTTGAGGGCAAGTGGAACCATGGTGGTATAAAGCCAATTAGCGCCACTGGTATCTTGATGGGGACATGATTAATAGTAACTCTTTCCATGGAGTGCTATGCTCTTTCCGATTGAGTTTCTAGTGCTGACACATTTTGTCACTGGTTTCTCATATTAGCACAAAATAAACATCACTGGAAATAAAGGTATGTTAAAGATTTGCTGCCAAAGAGAGGAAAGTGTGGTTATGCGTTTTAATTAAGACCAAAACTTCTTACTCTCCCAACAATTATATTTCTCAACTAATGTGAAAGATATGTTCATTGTAGCCAAATGTCTGGAAATTAGGCAGATTAAATGGGGCCTACATGTACATGTGTACATTATATACTTACAATTAATGTACAATACTTAATATCTTAAAGATTGATGCTTTGTGAGATATTCATGAAGGTCTTTCTGTTGTTCTCTTCCACTTCACTTGTAAGCTCCTTTGAAATCAGAACCCTTTGTCTCCCTTGCGATAATCCCTCTGACTACAGATCAATTGAAATGCCACTGTACAAAAATAAATCTTGCTTGCCTCTTGCTCAGGTTTTGGGTTTGTCTTTTGCTTAACGCTTCTCTCGAACAAGAATTACTGGTACTTTGTAAAAACTGTCCCTGGCTAAAGTTAATATAATCATAAAAAATAACAAAAGAAGACTTTTTACAGTTGCACAAATTATGCTCAAAACTCAGTGTAACAGCAGAAACCTTCACATCCAAGTTCGTTGATATAAAAGATTTTTACAAATCAACAAAACAAACAAAATGAACTCAATTTTCATGATTTTGGTTCCAAATACTCACATGACAGAACCTGAAAGGCCAGACTCGAGTTGACACAAGTCTGTGTCAATAATGTCATGTTTACCTTCCACATTGTTCCTTATTCTTGTCCAGAATTTGAGGAGTGACTTAAGTTGACACTGAGATAACACTGAGGGTGTTATCCTGGTAAGTGGTAAAACTAGTATGATTCCCATGCTTGACAGAGGAAACTGTGTCAACCAGACAAACATTAAAACTCATTACTGTAATCAATCACTCACTTGTTGGAAACTTAGTCTAAAGGCACACAATTTGGTCTTTTATTTTTTGAAAGGTTGGGCCAAAAAGATGTACATGTACCTTCAGGGGCAGATCCAGGAATTTTTTTTTTTTGGGGGGGGTTAGGCCGGAGATATTTATTTAAATACATGTATCTTATTGTTGGGGACTATTGTCTCCAGTTTGTAACACTCACCACGCACACATAAGAAAAACCTGTGGGATGCTATCTTGTTTTTGAATTTACTTCAGTTGATTTTTTATTATTTTCCTCATTTGTTTATTTTACCTTTTTGGAGTTTTGTTGTCTCAGAGCCGGGGGGGGGGTGATTTGAACCCCCTCCCCCAATCTTCACCTAGTGTTACAAGCAAACAATTCATTAGTACACAATTTTGGTAATATTTTTTTTGCTGTCATTGAGTCCTAGGCCAATTATCCAAGTACCCAAGTCTGCATGTAGGTTTCCAGCATCCGAGTGCAGGCCGAGTACAAACTCATGTAAGGCGTCAAAGTACAGGTTGAGTAGTATGAGTACATTGTATGCAGTTTTTGCACACGAAATGAAACATTTATGGAAACTATCATCTAAATGCATACGGCATATTCTTTATAAAATGGACCAAAATGCAACTCTGGATATCATTTTTCAAAACTTTTAAAAGAGTGACTTTGAGCATATAAAATACAAATAAGCACCTTCTGATTTATAAGAATGATTATTTGGGGATAATTAGGCATAATGTG